CTACTGAGCCATCTCCCCAGCCCCAAAATGGAAATATACTTTTTTTTTTGGTGGAACCAGGGATTGAACTCAGGCCTTGTGCTTGCCAGGGAAATGCTTATTCCACTGAGCCATTTCCTTGGCCCCTCTTGTTCATTTCTTATTGCTGGAATTTCCTATTCGTTTCTTTCTTGCTGGATGACTAAACTGGATGATGGTAGAGATGTTAAGCCGGCGTTTACTCAGCCCTGCCCTGCTCAGCCTCGGGAGCAGATGAATTCTCAGCTGGTGGATCTACTGCTTTTGTCTCTTTGCCATCTTGTGGTTTAGGGTTTTCTGGGCGTCTGCGTGGGTAATTGAAGTTGCGACGGTACCGACGTTGAGGTGGCTGCTGACCTTGGGTCTCATCTCCTTGATTTTCCTTATCTCCTTCATTGCCATCCTCTCTAGGCTGTCTTTGGCGAGGAGGGCCCCTGCGGAATCGTGGTCTATAAGGTCGATACATATTCTGTCTCACTGTCTACCTTGCTCTCCTGCATCCTGGCTGTCAGCACCCTCCATCACTTCTCCTTGCACAGGAGGTTGGAATACTGTGGTCGACACCCACGGGGTCACCGCACATAGTGAGGTGGGAACCTTCGCCTGCGGTAGGGCCGGTGTGGCTGGGCCTGGCCTTCGGGAGCGCTCTCCATCCCTCGTTCTTTTCCCCACTCTCACTATTCTGGTAATTCTGCTGGTAATTGCGTGGAGGACCCCTACGACGTGGATAGCTGGATAGCGTCTATAATGATTACAGTCTGCTGCATATTTACCGCCTTGAACTGGAGCTCCACCAGGGCCTGTGACATGTGCTGCCTCAGCACCCTTTTCTCCTTCAGCAACATCAAACTCCGCAGTCTCTCCATCTCCTACACTGCGAAGTTACTTCCTGGGGTTATTCTTCTTTATGGCAGTCTGGTGTACAAATACATCTTCCTTGGTGTCATTCCTGTTGATAAAGCCATATCCGTTTCTTACATTAAACCATTTTACTGTTCCCAAACCTTTGTTGCAATGGTTTTTTTGTCCCTGGCAGACAGACGCCGCAGATGCGAGGCCGCAGCTCCCTGCGCTGCTGTCCGTGGTGGTGCGGGGCTCGGTGCCAGCAGCACTGAGGTGGGGTGGGGGTGGCGGGCGGCTGCTGGGTCTCGGCCTCGCTGCTCATGGTTGCGGTGATGGTGACTGGGGCCGGGTGCGGCAGCTGCGGCTCCTCTCGGGGTGTGATGGTAACCAGGCCGGCAGCGGTGGGGCTGCTCAGGGCTCTCTGGGATCCACTCTCCGCTCCCACTACCGATCAAACTCCCTCTGCCCTAGTTCTGCCAATGAGTCCCAGACTCCGAGTGTCTCTCATCTGCCTCCTCACTTGCTTCTATTCAATCCCAAAGTACAGAGGATAAAGGGAGAATCCATCTTTTGCACTCACCACTGTGCTGCCAGAGTTTTTCTCTCTCCTGGCTCATGGGGCTAACTGAGATGCCCTTCGTGGCTTCCTTTCCTTTAGGGCTGCCACAAACATACACTTGCCCTCAAATATGTGCGCACTCACATCTTCATGTGTGTGCATATGGCCATGCATGCAACGGATGCATACAATTGTGTAAGCATATGAAAACATACAGGTGTCTACGTGTACACACAGCAGGCACACAGACCCACACACTCATGGCTCACAGTACACAAGAGTGCGCATATGCACACAGTGTACGGAGATGACAAGCTGGAGGTGGAGGTGACCTAGGGCGCAGGTGGGTGTCAGATGAGCGCTGTTCCAGCGGCCAAGATGTGTTCCCGCCTGTGTGTGTCTTCCTCCTTGTGAGTGTGAGCTGCCACTGCCCTCTTCTGTGCTCAAGAGCACCTTGTCTTGGGCTGTCGTGAAAAATTCCAAATGCTGACCCCTTCTACTCTCTGCCCTCACATTGTCTTCACAGCGACCACAAGAGGCACATATTGTGCTTGTTGTATAGATGAAGCAACGGGGACACAGAAAGATTGAGACTCTTGTCCAAATCGCACAGCTCATAAAGAGACAAGGCTAGGAATGGAGCCCAGATCAGACAAAGTTGTCAGCGAGTGTAGACTGAGAAGATCACAGGCAGAATGCCGAGAGACTCTTCCCTCTTTGTTTATCGAGCAGCCTTGATTAAGGCTGTTTTCTTATTGGCAAAATATTTACCTCAAAGAGTTGTTAGCAGATCATGTAAAATAGAGCCTGCAAAATGACATTAAAAACAAAGTCAAGTGATATATCAGGGTGACCTTTCCATTTTGGTGTGGTTTGGGTGAAGATTTCTGTGACTTTCACATTGAAAGCTGACTGCCTGTTGTCATACCAGTCAAGTGACATTTACACACAGGCAGTGTCCTGGCTGAATGTAGGCCACTGTGAAATCCTGGAGAACCAGACCTTGCCTAGAGCCAAGCCTGGAACCTCCTGACTCAGTGCTGGGCCCTGATGATGGAGTGGCCTGAAATCCCACTTTAGAAGTGAAACTGGGCACGTTATGCTCCCCGTGCCCTTCCCCAGGCTGTCTTCCATTTGCTCTGCTCAGATCTGTGTAGCTAACACCAGAATTAGGACATCACAGCAGGAAGTGTGGAAGCTATGCTTTGGTGTCCCTTCTTCCCTCCAGCGCTGCCAGTGTCTTTCATGGGTAACCATCAGAGAAGCCTGCCCACTAAAGAGCCAGGGCATGCCTTTAGTGAGGGTTGGCTCCCTTTGTCGATGGTGCTAGGACAGGCAGAAAGGTGAAGGGGGATGCAGATTTCTCAGTTTCCTCCTATACAGTGCTGCTGGTCTCAGTAAGCTGGGCCTCCTGGGCTAAGCTTTGATGGGGCTTAAAATGAAGAAAGGGAGAGAGCTCCACCCACAGCTCGGAGCATTTGTTAAACAACTGCAACGGGTTGAGAATGGAGAAAAGGATGTTTGTTCCTTTTTCACAAGATCCCTAGTATTGTGTGTATTATAATACAATGCAAAATGCAGTATAGTAAGCCCTTTCTTTTCTCATGTATGATTTTAATGAACC